TGGTTTGAGAGTCTCATCTGGTCCGGCAAGGAAGGATACGCGCGGCTCTCTGCCTCTGCGCCTTTGTGAGGTCGGTGAGGGTTCAGTGTTTAAACTTGCCGCTTGTGCGAAAGCCCGCCATAAAGCTTTTGAGAAACTTGTGAAGCTGCAGGCAAATAAATGAGTGCGTTTTAGTATCAATGTTAGGGTCTTCTTGGAGAGATGCGTGTGACAGAAGTTTCATGTGTCTCCATGTGTCTCACGTGGTTGAGAAAAGGTATTGAAAAGGGGAGTGGGATACTGAATGGCTCTTAAATCAGTGGTGCCCTTGTTACGGGAGCTCACACTGGAAGCTTCCTTTGTGCCATTTTAAAATCTATTGTTTGATGAGTTTTCAAGTCTGTGCACACTGTTCGTGTGCCAGACTCCAGCCTGTGGTAAATACAAGTGGCACCATGTTAATGCTAAAAGCTCTTCCTGGGTCATATCCGTAGACCCTTTCTTGTCTTGCAGAGTTTCCAGTGCTTTTCTAAATGTGAAGCTCATGCATCCTACTGCAGCCATTTGAAAGAAGGGAAAATTTTTGATTTCCTCTTTCATGCACTCTTTAGTGATCTTGACTTTTAGATCTTGCTACCCTAGCAATTGAAGGCAGAGAGCTGTTCCAGTGGGTGATCACTTGCCACAGCAGAACTTTGGTGTTGACAAACCACACAGCTTTGCAGTGGAAAATATAATCCTTAAATGGAAGGGGTCCCTACTTGTGGGTGTGAATCATCAAGCTTCAGTTGATGTTTCTGTGCACTATTTCTGTGCTGAGCTCAGGTGCCTCTCATGTTCTCAGCATGGTGCTGCAGCTTCTTGGTATGCCCCAAGTTCTGTAGAAGAGTGTTATAGAGCCTGAGGGAGATTATTGTGCTGAAAACATGAGCTACCTGCTGTCTCAAGTGATGGGCATGTGAGCACAGAGCAGCAGTAGAGTGCCCGTGTACCATGTGGGACAGTTGAGTGTGGTTAGCCCTTCCTGCTGGGAGTGGCTTGGTACTTGCTTTGAAGGTGTATTCCCATCCTTTAGAGGGGCACATGTGTACAGCACTTACTGTTAAGGTGTGTATTAGGGAAGTGCAGGTAGAGGGTTATAGTTAGGGTTGTGAGACCACAGCATGTGTTAACAGTCACTGAATGGCTTCTCATTAGGGAATGTCTTTCTGTAAATGGAGTTACCTTTTTATGCCCTTTCAGATTAACAAGCTTCAAAACAGTGGTTGATACTTGGTTTGGGCAGTCTGTTTCACCTGACTTGCAATGGCTTTGGCTGCCTTTTTGGCCTCTGTGGAGTGGTGGGAGGGCTGTGTCAGGCTGAGTTCTGAGGGATAGGGATGGAGCCCAGCAGGCTTTGGGTTTTGCTTCTGCAGCCCTCTGAGGAAGTTCAACACACCCTCTGCACTTCCCTGCTGCAGAATGTGTGGTGTTGGACCTCAGTGGGACCCTGGGAGCTGTTACAAAGCCATTGAACCTAGACTGCCCTCTGCTCAAGGTTTCTGCTGTGTCTGTCAGCAGAGTTGCCTAGAGTAAATGGCAACAGATGCACCCCGGCAATCTGTTAGCAAATCCTTTGACAAAGCTGCTAAGTTATTTGCTGTGCATGTCTGCATCCACATCAAGATTCTTGTGGGCACACTAATATCTGCTGACAGCCTTTGTGTTTCAGATCATGAGTTGATATGCAGGCTGATTTTTTTGCAGGCTAGATGGAGCCACAGAGCTTCTTTCAGTAAGACTGTAGATTTACAATCTAGTTGTTTTGGTGGTAGTTAGCTTTCCCTTTTGTTCCACCAGTCTCCTGGCAGAGAAACTAATGAATTTTCTTTTTAGTACAGAGAAACACCAAAGGTGAACTTACACAGTTCTAACAGGTGGTATTAATTGACCTGGCTTTTGTTTTACTGGCCATAATCCAAGGATTAGTTGCAGAAACTGTTGTATTTGTAAGTGGGTGATGAGCCCTGGAAACAGTGTGAGAATGGCTGGGGACAATGGTATCTGCTCAATGACACAGCTAATCACCTGCTTTTGGTTTAGATGAGCCTATAAATCCTGCATATAATTAAATCAAATAGCTGCATAATTGGCTTCCTGTGAATGCTTGCTGCACTACCCTTTGATAAATTGCTAAAACCTTATTGGAAATCTTGTCGGCTTTTAAATGATTATAGACTTCCAAAATTTTATAACTTTATTATAATAAATTTTTTTCTACTTGTATGATTTGTGAGATCTGCTGAAGTGTGGCAAATGTCAAAGCTTGGTTTGGATTTTTAAGAAGGGCAGTTCAAGTGAGCGAAGAAACTTTGCTCTGGTGGAGTGCCCTGAGTTGAACTGAAGTTCAGCTCAAGATAGGTGAATTTGTGAGCACCTAAAACCAGCTGTTTGTGTGGGACTGTAAAGAGAGAGAGTTTCACTTGCATGAGCTTAAGCTAGAACCTTAGAAAGATGTAACATTACTTTATTCATGCAGCAAAACAAACTAAGCTTTCTAAGCAAAAGTTCTGGCATGTGTAAGTTAACTCTTCATTGTAAGATACAACTGTATTACCATAATATTGCAACTCTGACAATTTGTCCAGACCTATTACATGGTGTGAAAAAACATTAATTGTCTGGGAATGTTCTTAAACTTGGCTACCTGGTGTATTTTGTAAGGTATCTTGTTCTTAAAGTATGTAACCAAATTATTTGTACTTGGTTTTTAGGCCCCTGGAGGAATTGCAACACCCCTTGTTTATGGCCAACTTCTAGCTTTATACCTGTTGCATAATGACATGTAAGTGGCTTGTATTAATCTTTAACTTCAGACTTCGGGTACTGAATGTGTCGCTATTAGTTTGAGCTGTAGTTGCCAGAATATCAGTAATTTGTTGTGTGACTAGCAAAATCCATATAGGCAGTGCTGTTTTTAAAAAAAAAAACAAACAAACAACCTCACAGAATTAAGTCCCTTTCATCCCTTGCTCTGTCAGGAAAATTATTCTCCTTTGTTTGCTCTGGCCCACCCTTTTG